CATTGTGTGTCGCAGCAGGGGCTGAACTGTGTTAGGTTAGTTAGGTAAGTTAAGGTAGGTTGAGTTCGGTTATTTAGGTTAGGTTAGTTAGGTTGAGTTAGATTAGGTTAGTTAGGTTAGCTAGGTTAGTTAGGTTGAGTTAGCTAGGTTAGTTAGGTTAGGTTAGGTTGATTAGGTTAGGTTAGCTAGGTTAGGTTGGTTAGGTTAGGTTGGTTAGGTTAGTTTGGTTGAGTTAGCTATGTTAGTTAGGTTAGCTGTTAGTTATGTTAGGTTGATTAGGTTAGGTTAGCTAGGTTATGTTGGTTAGGTTAGTTAGGTTAGGTTGGTTAGGTTAGGTTGGTTAGGTTAGATCAGGGTTACATATTTATGGTGTATTGGTCACATTATTGCTCTCTGTTACCCGAACTGTGACTGTCTCTATTACAGCCCCGCGTTCACCTTCCCCCACCCCATCAACCCCATGGCGTACCAGCAACTGCTCAGCCAGCAGCGAAGTCTCAGCTCCACCTTCGGACACACGCCGCTCATCCATCCATCGCCCACGTTTACGTCACGTCAGCCCGGATCCCTTCCCACCACCATCCAGGCTCCGGCTCCGGCCAGCAATGGCGGCTCTGCACACAGCGCCAGCCAGGTAAGAGAACGCCGAGCTTTTGACATTTCTGTGTGGGGCCGTCTTCCCTTCTCTGCCGACTTCAAAGAATAAAAGATCCGCCATTTTTTGGAGGTCCATCTTTATAATGGGGGCCAGGGGGATCTATATTCAAGTTGTAAGCACCCCCGGAGGTGGTAAATGGTTTGTCCCAACCTCTGTGACTTTTGGACAGCTTGGCCTGAACAATTGTGGAGAAAACTGTCATTTAAGGGCTCTGCAATAAAATAAATAAAGGAATTCACGCACATGACAGATACATTCTTACCGACATTGTGGTCCCGGATCCAACAATACTGATAACCCCGCCCACATGTTGCATTTTGCCCACCCACTTTCCCGGGTGGGTGTGTCCAAATGACACCCACTTAATGGGTTGGCCCTGCCTAGACCTCACCTCTAAATATGTGTTACCACCAAGCACACCCACTGTACAGGTTGGTCCCACCCAGACCCCGCTTCTAAATATGCAGGGACAGCCCACTGGGGGATTCCCCTCCCCCTTTAATATGCCATCTCCCAATCTGCAAATAATGTCGATAGTGTTGTGTCAGGTTGTCATTGTCACGTGTCAGGTTGTCACCAGGCTCGGATTCCCCACAAGGTCGCCGAGGCGCGGCCTCGCGGCGGCAGGGCGCGGAGGGGCGGCAGCGGTGTCCTTGTGGGGAAGTTGCCCTCTCTACATTCAGTCCTGCTTTGCACAAGCCGAGCTACATGTAGAGTGAGGCAGCCGATTGTTCGTTTACATGTGAGGTCAGCGATGCCGCAGAGATCACATGTAAACAGTGTGCAGCTGTAACGCCTGAATGGACTGTAGTAGTGGGGATCGCAGCTGCGGAGGCTTCTCAGGTATGGAACCCTGGTTTCACTCTCTCAGTTTTAACAGAGAGTTAGGCTTCCTCGCATCACAGCCTCAGGATAAATAATAAGGCAACAGAAAAGGTTCTACTACGTAAACTAGGTTTGAGGAGATGTGGTAATTGATAATCAGGCTGTATGACCGCAGGATTCCACAAATAAATGTATCTAAAGCAAG